AGAGGTCCAGGGAAAAGAGTATTGTAGGCAACATACTGTTGCCCATAGCCTATATGTTACTGTGTATGCTATGAAGTGAGCCTACTTATGGGGTACAATATTGAACTGAGTGCTGATCATTGTTGTTATGGAGTACAGGAGGTATAAGAGTTTTCTTATGATGAGATTTCTACAGTAAATACATCTGAACTGAATACCAGAAGTCTCCATCTAACGGCCAAGGAAGTTATAGAAGATGATGGCTAATGTCATTACTTCAAACAGTTTCAACTTGCAGATCAGACGCCAAAATTAAAGTTCCCGGGTTATTATCCACTTATGCCCTAACCTCACATCTCGTTGCCTTGTACCTGCATAGATGTATCAGCACGTACTATACTGGTACACCATTAGTACAATCAGTGACTTCATCCTCCTCCTCTTCAACTATGCTAGATGACTCCAGAAACATGAGCAAAAAGCCACAGACGACAACATTGCCACTTCTCAGCTCACAGTTAACTTTAACACTCAGGGGTAGCTGTGGCTTAGAGGTAGAACGGGTCACCCATTAATCGGAAGCTTGGCAGTTGGATCCCAGACTCACCCAGCCCACATGCTGAACTGTTCTTGGGCAAGCTACTGAACCCCAAATTGCTCCCGAAGGCTGTGCCACTGGTGTGTGAATATGTGTTTTTTTCTGATGAGCAGTTGGCCTTGCATGGTAGCCTCTACCATCAGTGGATGAATGTGTGTGAATTTACCATTTACACTAACAATTAAATGCTACACTGCATTAGAATGAATGAGTGATTTACTTGATGCTGTGTGAAAGATGGAAAAAGAACAGTCAGTGTTATGCAGATATGAGGATGAAAAGTTTCCCTTCAAGGGATGTTGCAGTTATACTGTATATGATCTTTACAAAGATTGCGCCTGAGTACAGTAATAGACAACGGCAGACTAAGACTGTCCCCTGAACACTAATGACTCATAAAGCCTCACTGCCACCTCTACTTGACAAATGGCAAATGTCAGCGGCATATTCTCCTGGTAGGCATAATTTTATTAAGTGCAAATATCACTGTGCTCCTTAGGAGACATTCAAAGGTTAGACCAACAGCTGTAGCAGTTTCATGTGTATTAGCTGGGGTTTAGCAACAAGTCAGGCTCCCGAGTTGATGGACACAACCAGTCAAGCATGAGAAGGGATGCTCTAACTAAAGGCAATAAGAAGAAGCTCAAGCCTAAGATCATGTTTATTTAAAAGTCTGGGACAATAATCTAATGGAGGACAGTAAGGTAAGGGGAGGAGAGAGGGAGGAAAGCAGTAAAGAGAAGAGAAAGAGAGAGAAAATAATAGACTGGTGGCATATAGAAGGGCAGATCATTTTTTCCCATTTATTGGCCGTGGTAATTTGTTGACTCACTCATCCATGCAGAGTCTTTATGTTTAATGCAGGCCTCCAGAGGGGAAAGGAGGGAAGAGCGGGGGGTAGGAATTGGAAAGACAGGCAATAGGGGGTTAGGGGGTACCCTGAGAGATTAACTTCCACCTCTCAGTGTGAGAGGCGGAGGTGGATGAATATCAGCCTCAGATGCTAATGGGGACTTTATATTGGCCTGACTTTGCTCAATACACCTGCCAAATAATTGATGGGAATACTCTCAAAATGAATGTCAAGATTCTCTGCCAATGACCTTTAGGATTCATACACACCACTTGTAAGCCGGTGTGTATGAATGAAATGATCATTATTTATCATAAATAACAGTCCCCCAAAGTACTATATTTAACATTCTGTAAAATATCATACAATTATGGTTTATGGAAATTCATTTCACTGATAATAAAGATGAACTCAACAGATTCTCCTTAACTCCCGGTTCAATGTCATACAGCTGTCAGATAGTTGTCTGGGCTTTGATGTGTGCTGTGGTCTGACACCCATCATCCTCGCCCAGCTGTTACTGGCATGCCTGCCCTGACCTGGCCCTCAAAAGGGTCATACCCATGTGGACAAACATTGGTGGCCTACTGCTGGCAATGGCTCCCTGTGAGTTCCATTTACAGAATGGGTTACCACTGTCTGTTCTACTTAGAGATGTGAAAACATCAACCCATCCTTAACAACTACTGATGAAGACTGAAGCCTGTTACATATCATATTTTTAGTGTATTTTAGTGTAGTGTCACACTGTGAGGTTTCATGGTAAATAAATGTTAAAATAAGTTACTTGCTGGAAACTGTCTGGCGGATGTTCAGATCCACTTCCAAAACTTTTCTGCTGAAAGTTGCTGAAGCACAACTAAACAGGATATTGGCATGTGACGGCCTGGACAGCAGAGTTTGGGCCTGAAGTGTGAAAATGGGGAGAAGTCTTGGCTTGGCTGACTTACAGTCCTAGCAACTGAGCTGATCCCAAGAAATCAATCAGTGCATTTCCACTTGTTTTTCCACCATAGGCCTAACTAAAGAGACCATAAAGATTAGAATGAAAATTAAAAAGCAACAACTTTGTTTGAGATGCAGTTTTTGCATGTCAAAGTATACAGGTCTAATACTCTGTGATGTTTGATTGAAAGTTGAAAAGAAGACATGCAGTGGAGTAAAGACTGATTGAATGTGCCCCAAAAGCAAGATGCCGATCTGCAAGAAGCAATGAGTGTCTGGTTATGGTTATTTTTCTGCTTTTATTATATGGTCTTGAAACAATTAGCAAAGAAAGTTAAGTATGTCTCACTTTTCTTTCACATTACTATACTTGTCAGATTGTAGCTTTGTTACATTAGTTTTACATTAAAATAAATTCTCATTTTTTGTCCTAATATTGACACCAGCAACAACTATGCTTAATTGTAGTGTAGGTAAATGGTGATTCACAGTCCTAAAGCTGATGATACACAGAGCAACTTTTAGAGCAATCGTGCAGGGCAACGTTGCCGTCAGTGTTAATGAGTAAAGATTACTACCGTAATCCCCTTCCCCCACCACTCCGCCCCGCACCGCCGCTATCCGTTCAAAACATAGTCGGACTTGCCACTAGACATTGCCCAGCAACATTGCTCAAGCTTTAAGCTGATGATACACGGCGCAACTTTTTGAGCAATGTTGCTGAGCAGTGGTGCTAGCGGCAAGTCCGACTATGTTTTGAACGGATAGTGGCGGTGCGGGGCGGGTGGTGGAGTGGTGGGGGAAGGGGATTACGATAGTAATCTTTACTCATTACCATTGACAGCAAGGTTGCCCTGCACGATTGCTCTAAAAGTTGCTGTGTGTATCATCAGTTTAAGGCTTTCAGCAATGTCTCAGCAACGCCAAGCAATGCAACACCAACCTGAGTTCCTACGCCATCGGAAAGTACTACCTCATGAAGTAGTGTAGACTTGTTAGGGTGCTGTAACCAATTGTCTTTTTGGAAAATTGTCTAGTTGGCTTATTACCTTCCAATTAGAAGCACAACTAATACTAACCATTATGTTCATATCAGTAGCACCACCTTTATACAACAAAATGTTGCATTTATGTACATAATTTAGCACTTTGCTTGGAATACGCCTTTTAAGCAGCAAGCTGTTGTTCCTTCCAAATCCTCAAAAAATGCATAATGTTACTGACTCCACTGCCTTTTCTGATCTTCACATCATATTAACTTTACAACTAAGATGATCTCAACATTTAACTCGCTTCGCTTAACTTTCATCTATTTTTAGGCCTCTGTGTTGATGTACCACTCCTTGGTTTGTATGTCAGAGTTGTTACATTGCTGCAATGGAGCATCTCTTGGGTATAGAATGACATAAATTAAAGCCTTGAGCCACCTCCAGCTATAGAAACTGATGTTCATCTCATAAAGGAATCAGCGGACTGTTCAAGACACCCTGCTGCCTAAAATAGCATGTCTCTGCAGCACGATGTACATGATGTGCAAAACATCTGCGCCCCCCTATGAACCTTCCAAAGTGTTTGGTGAATTCTGCCTCTAGAGCATGAGTATGTATACACACACACACACACATCCTCACACCATGGCTAAGATGTGTTATGGTCCACGATAAGATGTACTTCCAATAACCAGCTAAAGCGTGTTAGAGCTCCTTGGGGTGTGTTTGTGTCTACTGTATATTTGTGTGTGCATGCATGCATTTGTGCAGGCAGGCAAGTGTGTGTATGACTTTGTGTGTGTGTTTTGTCTGTTATGTCCCCAGCTACTTCCAAGTATCACTCCTCAGTACTCTCTCTCCACCAGTGCTGTCATAAGATAATGTGACAGGGTGTCAATCATGCCGGGGCCTGGGGTGCCATGGCGACAAGAGGGTTTTTGGCGGAACACTTTTGTGAGCAACACCAGGGAGAAGGCAACAGCAGGGACCACAGTACAGAACAAATCACAAACCTTACCACTGCCAGGTCTCACACATGCCTTCTTTTTTCTACAATCCCCCTCTGGCTGCTCAAATCATCCAGCAATTCTTTTGGTCTAAATCCTGACCCTTGTAAGAAAGAACCCTGTGGGGGGGGGTCACATGCAGACAAAATGTTCTGCCATCCCCTAAGAGAATCATCCCCGGCACCTAGCAAATGATCTGAGTATCCATCCCATCTCTGTGCCCAGGGGCCTACACTGTACAGTAGACTAGCTGGGTGCTGCCACTCTTCCACTCTGAGCTGTGATGTGTTATGATGGCTCCATCACTCTGGGAGGCAGGGACACAGACACCTGTGGAGGCACTGGGTAAAGTTGATGGAATTGGACAGGACTTAATCTCTGACTGTGTCTAGTGAGGAGTGTTGATGACTGCAGGTGTTGAAGAATTGTGGCAGTTTACAAATGTCTGGAGTGTAGTTATTATTAAGTTACTATTCTGCTGGATTTTTATCATTTTATAATTAATTTGAATAATTCTTCCTGATTATAGTATGTTAAGGGTGTGGTGACATAGGGCTTGGTATGTTTGAGAGAAAGTAGTAGTAGTTCAAATGAGCATTTATGCCTCTTTTATGTGATTGTTTATTTTATTTATTTTTTACAGCATTTCATTAAATAATTCTTTTTGTTTTTTATCCAAAAAGCTCTAATAAACCCACTGAACACTATCTACACACCCAATGTCTGACAGACAAAATGATATACAGTATTTAAATACAATACATATATATACATAGCATTGGGCATGCACTTCTTGTGTCATTGAGCCGGGTAGGAGGGGCCAACGTTGAATGTTGTGTTTACAAACTGCAACCACAAAACTTGTACATACCACAAGCTTGTGATAAAAATCTCTGTAGTTCTTAAACCAATGGCATTATAGTAGCTCATAGAATTGATAAACCTGTAAGCCACAAACACACACTTCTGACTGTAGAGATGGGCAGTTCATACATCTCATATCCCCCATTGAAGACTGAAACTGAGACTGTGTGAAGGTAATGTCATTCTGCCATTATCTTGTGTGTTCGAATGCAGGCTATGCATTTTTTGCTTGGATGTGTTCTCTTCTTTGATGGCTTGCTGGTAAAGGGCTCCAAGTAAATAAAATGTATTCTTATTACAATGTCGATGTGACATTTGTGGCACAGCACACAAGTAATCTGTGTAGGAATACAGTCAGCACAAATGTGTGGCTGTGCCATCACAGCAAAATGTGAAAATGATAAGAACAAATGCCTGCCTGCAGAGGTTCTCGGTGGTGACTTCGTGATGGACGCTGGTCTCCTGGGTGCTCATCTTGATGTGAAAGCCCTTATCATAGAGGATCATCATTCCCACCTGGTTGTCCTTCGGCCTCATGCAGAGAACAAAAGAGTCCTTCACCAGCAGCCATCTACAAAGTGCACAGAACCACACTCACACACACAATGGTGGAATTCAGTGTAGAAAGCTGAATCTGTTTTAACCCAGATGTAAGGAAGGACAGAGGCAATCATGAACAAGGGAGCTGCATGGGATATGGCTTTTATGTATATTTTAATAATCTATGGGCCAATGTTAACACATCACAGTGTGAAATAATGTTATTTTTTGACTAAGTAAAACACACCATTAAATCCACACTCGTAACAGACTGTATTTTTTCCCTTTTCCTGAAGTATTAACCCATGACTTCATAAACAAACAAACAAACAGACGCACACAAAAACGTCTCTGTGGCAAAGTAAGCATGCTAAAGTAATCAAATAAGACATTATAATTTAAATAACACATCTGATTTAAGCTCTGTCATCGTCAGTGTATAGCATAATGAAATGAAATAGGCTTGTTCTCACATTTCTTATAAGAGATCTGACTGACATTTAAAATGTCCAGGCAAAACACAGCAATGCTAAGACTTTATGAAATATATAAAGATTCAACCTCTTTTCCTGCTGAAAGAAAACAGTTTAGAATAAAAGAAACTCAAATTCTTTGAGTCTTTGAAAAAAATGAAGTCATCTGTGACACATTGGCAGCCTAATGAAACTGCAAACTTTTCAGCAGAAGATACTGTCGCACATATTCTTTAGGAACAAATTTACTTTGTTTTACTGTAAGATGCTTACTTAGCACTTATGCATCATTATTATAATGTGTCATCTCATCGCTTTTTTCTGTAGGCAATGGATATTAGTGGCCATCTTAGCTCTTTAAGTGATAGTTTCTTTGCTCCTGCCTGCTGTGTTTCCCCTCATTAATGCAAGCTATTCTCCATCACCATCCTCTGTGAAGGGATTCTCCTCATGCAGGCCACAGAACTCTGACAAGGATGAAATTACTGTTAGCTTTCACACCTAATTAAAGTGTAGATGGCTCACCTTCAATGGAGTTGACTGTATTGATGTCATTCTTTTACAAGACAAGGCTTTGACTGTAAGTCACCATACTTGTGGTTGCTGGATAGATCCAGTACATGGTGCTTTTGAGGATGTTTCTCAGGTTGTCCTCCAGCTGTATCTGTCAGATAGATTCCAGCTGTTTTCCATTCAGTGGTGGAGTGCATAAATAGCTTAATGACTGTTCCCCTAAAGAACTAGAATTATGGCACTAATATTATTATTACTTCTATATATAGCAGTTGTTATAAGGGTTTTGATTCTGTTACTTTCATGACATGATGTTTTTAGAAGCATTTATGAAAAAGAGACTTAAGATAATACTAACGTTTGGTACCAACTCTCAGTTTTCTACTCAAAAATCATGTTTTGGTGATAAAGACTTTGAAGGTCAAAACGTTGCATCATTAAACTTTAGGGAGCTTGCAGTATTCAGTGTGCGGGTTGGATGTGATCACTACCTTTTTGAACTTGTAAAACAAATAAACAGTATTTAGTTAAATTTGAGACTGAGAGTAGCAACAGATTTTTTTAAATACCGAATGACAGTCATTCTCTCCAAATCCCAATTTCCCAATGTATGCTTATCCAGACTCTGCAAACTTTCATTTGGCTGGTTATTTTTTGAAAATCTTCAGTGGGCTTGTTATATAAATGAATTTTTAGGTTCTGTGAGAACATGCTGTATTTTTCCAAGCTGCTGAACAGAAGGAAATGAGAGTGAGCTGAAGAGAAACTGAGTACTCTCAGCTGAGAAATGAACACTCAGGGATATAAGAGAGGGTGGACGGGTATAAATAGGCTTCTTGCTAATAGTCAGTTTTGTGCATGTATCTGTGTCTACATCTTGTGTGATTCTGCACATGCTTATGTGCGTGTGGGCTTTGTGTGCTGCATATGTAAGTGAGTGACAAAAGGTGAGCAAATTAGCAGTTCTAACAAGCAGGTTGGCAGGGAGCGCTTTAGAAGAGCCTTGAACATCAGCAGCTCCTGATGAAGAGCTTGGAAGTGCTTGAAACAGAGTTTGATTTTCCACGTGAAGTCCCTGTGGCTCAGCTCAATCGTGTAGAGATTTAGATTCAGCACCTTTGAGGTGAACATTTCAAAAGGAGACGGTTCAGCTTCACCGCATCAATAGTCGCTTACAAGAACTTTGGAGGAGATGAAACACATATAACGATACAATACTGCCTTTAAGGATAAGTTTGGGGATTGTGATATTAAGAAACTTTTGATCAGAAAAGGTGAGGTTTACAGCTTTATCAAAATAATGAGTGAAGAGCGCCTTTTAAAGAGGTTCAGACGGGGCGTGTGACAAGTGATGACTCAGTACCTGGTTTACAGTCAATTATATCTCACTCACCTTTGTTGTAGATGTCTGTTCCACCTCTGTTACCGAGACAAAAATAGGAATGTTTTCCAAGAACACTTTGGAGTCCAGTGACTAGTAATGGGGGGAAGTTGTAGATTGTCAGAAAAGGAATGGTTCTTGATTCTGGAGGGAAAAAAGGTTTTAGTAAGCAGAATGAGGAATAGGCTTTACCTTCTTTACTGGGTTGTAATAGACTTTTACCCATTGCAAATATGCACCAACATCCCCACTTTTATAACAAAAAAAGGAAGACTTTAAGAAATACTGGTCTTTGCTGATATTTAAAGACACTACCAGACACAGCCACAGCCTGTTCACCCTGCTACCATCTGGCAAGAGAATTAGAAGTATCTGCTGTCTTACCACCTGACTCCAGAGAAGCTTCTTCCCTCAGGCTGTGAGACTCCTTAATTCATCCTCAGCACTCCACCATGTAAAATAGTTTTAGTTCTGTATATAATTTTAATAATGTTTGCTCTTTGTAACTACAGGGAACTAAAACTTCATTGCATTATACAACCCTGGGTTGTAAAATAACACCCGGTACAATGAAAGTCAGGCATGATATTTGATTTATTGATTTTTAAAGGTTTCTTACTCGACTTCCTGTTTTGTCCATCTGCCATGCTGGTCTTCAGTCATTCCATACTCTGTTCCTTGCTACTTAGGCCCCATCCACACTACTCCGTTTTAGTTTACAAACGGAGAATGAAAACGAATACGATCTCCGTCCACACCAGCGTTTGAGCTGCGTATCAGAGATGATCTCCGTCTACATTAAAACGACTGAAAACGTACATCTATTGGCCGTTCAGGTACACTGAGCATGTGGGTGCTGGTGTAAACTTGAAGCTGTAGTTACAGAAGATTTGGCGAAATAATAAAGAAATGCAGACGAAGAATCAGACCAGATTTTTTTTTTTTTGCATGCACCAATAACGAGCTGGGACTGTTACTGAATGTAACACAGGACCAACTCAAAAACTCTGTCAGTAGCATCGTGTTGCTGCTTTGCATGACCCAATCAGAGAGCCGAGCATGAGCGTCTGCGTCATCGTTTCTAAAGTCCTCCATTTTTTGCCCGTCTTCACTGACTTTTAGTCTGGACAGGAGGTGCAAACGTAGCAAAAGGTATCCGTTGTAATTCAAAAACGCAGTAGTGTGGATGGGGCCTTATACTTTAGATATAGTTTGACTAATAACTAACAAATAAATTATGTTTGAGGTCTAAAGCAGAACACGCATTAGCCCAAGAGATTTTTTCCCCAGGTGCAAATGTAGTTCTAGACATCTGTTGTTGTTACCAGATTACCAGAAGTAATCTTTAAAAAAAATGTAAAATATTTAATCACCAAGCATGTTTTGCAAATATAAACTTTGCTTGTCATTAACATAAATATGTTCTTTAATAAACTAAGGCTTTGGAGAATATCACTGTATATCACCCACTGTGATCTGATAAAGGAGAACTGTGCCAACGATGATTAACAGCTAATGATGAAAAACACATGCAGGCTGCATCGTTCATCTAGGGACATAGCCATTTCTTCACTTTCACGCCATTTGACCCTGACCTTTCCTTTCTATGTCAGACTGCACACAATCAATGTCTGTCACCTTCTGCGTGATCACAAAAACAGTGGACCCTCCCTGACAGGGTCTCCACTGGCAGCCCTGTCTCCCTGCATTTGGGCCACTAGATCTTCTATTGGTGGTACTGAGCCATCCTGCCTCATTATGTCCTCCACCCCGCCCTGGCCAGCCCACTGGAAGTGATGCTAATAACATGAATTCCAACTGACTGACATGGGTGAAGAACCAGGAGATGAAATCCATACTTCATGCATTTTGCATGGGGTGGTAATTAGGCAATTTTGGGGGTACTAAATGCTTCTGCTGAAGTGTCCATGTTCCTGGTGAGACAGGAAAAAATCAGCTGAAAGCTTGTAATATCAAGTCCAGATGTTGAAAAATTTATTAATTAAGAATTAAGTAAGCGCTCTGAACCAATTTGAACATTTTTAGAAGGGAACCAATTACACAAATCCTGATGTGTTCTTCAAACCCTGAAGCTTCACCAAACTGGTTTCACCCGTAAAGATTAGATTTGACTGTGCAGATACCAAGAGTATCTTGTTTTGAAGCATGGCCTAAATTATGTGTGCTTTCTTGCTGAATAAGTGTCTGCTTCTCTAACAGACCCTGAGACCCATTTCAAAGGTCTGAGAATGTGCCCTTGACAATCTTTCCCCCCTCTCATCGCCTTGGGCCCCTGGCTTTGGCCATTAGGGAGATTCCTTGTCTTCCCTAAGCAATGACAGGTGAAGTGGAGCACAAAATCCCAAAGCCTGCCATGGGCCTCTCCACAGCCTCAGCACCTCTAATTCTAACAGACACTCATCTTTCTATTAACACTTCTTTCTACTAACACATCTTATGACAGACAACAGATTCCCAGTGTTTGAGACGACAGCCACACAGTCTATGACAGAGAAATATATGCACCTGGCTGTTATTCCATGCACTGACAAAGGCAACTCAGACATAAACTGTTTGAGTTGCCAATGCAAGATGGAAAATGGGGAATGCACATCGAGGTTTTATATTCTTTGACATTAAAGGAAAAGCTTGCTGATCCGTTTCCTTACTTAATGGATTACTATGAAATTGAGCTTCAAAATGATATCTTTTCTCTGGCCACATTGTGAAATGCATATCATTGTTCTGATTTGGGGTTTTGTAGTTCCTGTTTTATTTTGAAATTATCCTTTCTAGTGTGTGATTTTTTTGTGTTTCCTTGGTTGATTGTTTGCACCTGCCCTAGTGTGTTACACACATGTCCAATCATCCTCACCTTCCTCTTTGTATATTTGTCTTTACCCCGCCTTTCGCCCGATGTCAGCTGGGATTGGCTCCAGCCCCCCGCGACCCTGTATGCAGGATAAGCAGTTGACGATGGATGGATGGATTATTTACCTGAGTTTGGATATTTTGGACTTTTCTTGGATTGACTTGCATTGTTATGTTTGAACTGTTTCCTGACTTTTGACTTTGGATTGTCTGTTCACCACATAAGCCACCCGCCTTTCCTTCCGGCCTGCTAGCAACCAGTCTTCATTCTGGCCTGTTTGAAAATTGCACTTCAGTGGATTAGGCTCAGTTTCATGAGTCTACAGCCATCCGGTCCTGAGTCAACCCCCCAGACGGCTAATCTTCCACCATCTCCAGTTCCTGAGTTGGTTAAAGACTCCCCCAGAATGTTAGCATCCAGCTAGATAGCCTATCAGCGAGTCTGGTACAAGCCAGTTTCTTGCCGGATCGAGCCCTGGCACCTAAGGCCCTCCAGAAGGCCACGTGCCTTTCATCATCATCGGGCCTCTCCAAGACTCAGCTGATCAGCCCAAGAGACTTTGTTGCCCTGTTCCTCAGAGACTCAGGTGACCAACTTCACTGACATTCAGCTGTCCATTGTTCCAGAAACTCAGCTGATCAGACTTTACTATCTAGCTCACCAAAGAGTCAGCTATAGGTTTCACCTTCATAGCTGGTCTCTTCCTGGTGGTCTTCCCGATGCACTTGGGCCTTCGGCCCTGCCTCCAGTCCGTACACCTTAGGACTCCTGTTTTGCCCCTGTCCAGCCCTCTGACTGTCCGCTGAGGACTCCTGCTCTGCTTCTGTTGATCACCTGAACACACCCTCCTCCAGATCTCCCTCCCTCCACCCACTTCGATTTGGACTTTCTATTATCTGTCTAATTCTCCGGCTCACCAGACTCCTGCACCTGAGTTGGATTATTAATAAACCTCTTATGAACTGAATCTGTTCTACTTACATTTGGGCCCTAGTCTTAGTTTCCCAGAGTCTACACTTGATTAACCATGACGATCATATCATGATACATGGTGCTTTGTAAAGAACTTTGTAATTCAAAAAGCCAAACCCAGACCTTCAGAAATTAATTTGTCTGTGGCCAAAAGGCTAGACATAGGCACAGCTCCTTGTTTCTAATAACTCTGGTGTACAACACACTTTTATTGAGACTAAACATAGCATATTCCCTTTAAGTACCTTTGTCATTATAACCACTCATGTGATAGGGTCAAACCATTGCACAGCTTTGTGGAAATATGTCTATCATTAGTAACATAAATCTGTTTGTTTAATTTTTGTTTACATAAAAAGAACCAAAGTATACATTTACAATACAATCTACCTCAACATGAAACCAAATTACTTTCTATGCAGAAATAAATCAGTTAATTAAACCACGTATCATTTACATGACCAAGAATATAAATCTCACAAGCACAAGTCAATGTCAATCAACAATACATATCATGTAGTTTTAACATGATCTAATATGGATGCATGCAAAAAAATAAATAAAACCATCTCTAAACTTCTCTGTCACCTTGCAGTCTGGTATTCCCTCACAAAATAAGGTGGTTACATTTACAATGGGAGGATGGAGAAAAAATTACATGAGAGACACATTCAACTTCATGGAAAACTAGATTGTTGCACTCACCCAATTTGTGTGTGTTCACATACTGTAGGCTAGCCTGATGTTGTTTTGCACTGGTCTCTGGTGTGATCAGCAGTACTACAAAGGGAAACAAGAATTGACAATCACTGACAGGATAAGAACATTATGTCAGAATCTAAGCCAGCAATAAGTAGATAAATATAGAGAGCAGTGAAAAGGAGTGGAGAAAGAGAGTACTGATACATCTAGTCTGCAGATCTTGGAGAAGTGAAGGAATGGGTTAAAGAACCTCCTTGAGGTTTTAACCACTTTTCACCTCAGCTAAATAACTGTGAGTCAGCCAGTATCATGTGTGTTTCCCCAGTTAAATGTAAGAGTGTATGAAGGCCTACAGTTTTGAATGAAACCATACTGGAACCCTCCCCTACCCTACTGCGCTTTAGCACTCCACACAGTTTCAACTATTGGCTGAAAATGAACACGTGACAGTGACACTAGACAGGAAGTGTTTGAGCCTGAGCGTGTACATTTGTTTACAGCCGCGAGTTCTTCGTCTGCATGTTACCGAGACTGTCTTATGTGAATGAAAATCTGAACAGTTTTCGGCTAAATATTAGTAAACAGCACGTAATACCGATATAGCTACTACCGTGCGTCTGTCATGTTTATGCCGTGTAAATGGGAATAACACCCGCTAACAAGAAATGCTAAAGTTACGCTCCCTCCGCCTGCTAACTTCCAAGGTAACGTTACCCTTCACGTTACACCGTCATGTGTCAGTGACAGCGTAATTATTTCACCTCTTTATTACAAAATACAAATGTAATCACTACGTTTGTGTGCAGGTGCGATTGGTGGATCCTTCAGCGAGCTAACGTTTAACGTGTGCTAGTTAGCCAGCTGGCAAAGACGCTAACATGGGAGTTATACAAGACAGGATGACCTCTGACTAACGATACACGTCTCTCAAAAGATAAAGTATGAACTAGTGTATAAAGAATGTCCTCAGTGTTTTCAACCCATGCTTTGGATAGCATTTGTAGCCGCTAACACAGTGTGACGCTGTCTGCCTGCACTCACCCTCTTCCCCTCAGTGACTAGATGATGATACAGAATGACCAAAGACCGGGTGCATCATGGCATTATCTGAAGTTTACTGGGATCACCAAATACCCCTGCCAAAGCTTGCTCCAGTCCAGGCCAAGGTCACTGTCGCTCTGGTGGCACTCCTGTGCTTCATTAACAGTTATGATGGGGAGTTTGTATTTGATGATTCTGAAGCAATCGTCAACAATAAGGTATTTTCCCCTTTGCACTAGTATGATACCCACACATACATATTTGCAAAGCCATTGATGTACCCCTTTCATATACCATTTCAAAACATATCCATTTTATGACATTGCATCTGTAGCATGAATAGTCTATTTTTATGTTTCTGTTCCAGGACTTGAAACCAACAACACCCCTGAACAACATCTGGAGCAATGACTTCTGGGGAAGCAACCTGAGTAGCAACTCTAGTCACAAATCCTACCGACCTCTCACTGTCCTTACGTTCAGGTGAGGGCACAAATCTACTGTGAACATACACACTGATGTTATACCATGGTTACAAAAAATACTTGTTTCTGATCAGCTGGCATGTATTAACTTCATTTAAAATGACACCACAACATAGCTCCTGTCGACATAGTTAGTCAGTGCTTTAATGGACAACGTATTTCCAATAAATGTGGCCACTATGGCTCTATGGGTCATTCTAATTTTCCCTCGCCGCCTACATTATAGAGATTTGGGGGGGAAAGAGGACTCGCGCAAAATGACGTATATAAGGTGAAGCTGTGCAAGCCTCCTAAAGCTTTCCGAATGAATGTGATTTTTCATGAGTTATTCAAACTCTTCACTCTGAGTCTGAAACTGCCATTATTGTTATTGCTAACTGAGTAGGGATCTACATAGCACCTGGTACACACTAAATGATTTTCAGATCTTGTCTGATTTTAAAAATGGACATTCATAACAACAGATTTAACCGATTTTCAATATTTATATCATAATAGGGTGTATACCAGACTATTCAGCCAAGACGTAGGACCACAAAGTTTGACTTTACGCGTTTACTAAATCATTTCAGAGTAGTGATTCCAGGCACTTGGGATCTCCAGAAATTCACATGATCAAAGGTGACTACAGAAAAATACAAAAATTAAGGCAGAAAGTTGTCATCGGCTGGTTGTACTACACTGAACAAAACTATGAACGCAACGTTTTTGCCCCCATTCATCATGAGCTGAACTCAAAGATCTATGACTTTCTCTATGGATACAAAAGGCCTTTTTCTGTCAAATTTTGTTCACAAATCTTTCAAAATCTGTGTTAGTAAGCACTTCTCCTTTGCCAAGATAATCCACCCACAGCATGGGTATTGCACAGGTGTGCACAACTTAGGCTGGCCACAACAAAAGGCCACTCAAACGGCAGTGCGAGCAAGTACGTAACATCCGGTTTGGTGACGTAAAGGTCAGGTCGCTTTCATTGGCTATTGCAGGTTTCTGCTCAATATTCCATCGCTGTTCCTTTTACTCTACAGGACAGTGGGTAACATTAAGATTATGTCTATAAACACCTCACACTACAGGAGGATTCCATGCAGGTGGTATAGAAAGAAGATTTTGTAGACCCTCAGGCAGGCGGTGGGCTTGTCTGCCATTTTTGTGCTTTCCATTTACGGCAATCTGTGCAGCTCTACTGGTGCTTGAGTCTTGGTCTTGTGATGCCACAGAGGTTGTCTGCAGAGTTCCTAGGAGAGTCCACATATCAGTAGGATACTGATTTCAACCACGTTAATACATTTGTTGAGTCAAACCATAGAACGACTCTGACGATGGTAAAAGCTGAGTGAGCTAATTTTCAAGCAGCTTATACTGTTGAACTCCATTTAGGGCAGGATTTAACTCAAGGGGTGGAATGGTGAGTCACCGCTTAGGAGTTACTCGTGAGCTTGGATGCGGCCCTCCTTATCTCCTGTGCATAGGTATGAGACAGGTCCCTAAGCCTGCTCCGAGGCATCACAGAAATTGTGTATCTGACAAACACTGGGGTGCTCTAAGTCTAGTGCTGCATGGTACTGTGGCAGGGTGACACTTGGCAAGGTTGTGAGTTCTCCCTATCGTACCCCCCTCACACACATTTCTGTACTTTCCTATATCAGTCATATGTCTATCATTACATATTTCCCCCTCTTCCTGTTGCAGGCTGAACTACCTCTTGGCGGGAGGCCTAAACCCTGTTGGCTTCCACGTGCTGAACATCATCCTCCATGCTGTCATATCTGCCCTTATGATTGACGTGTTTGCTATACTGATTGGTGGACTGGCCTATGATGAGATGGGTGGGATGCTCAACCACGCTCCCAAGACCTCTATTCTTGCTGC